CTGCCACACGCATACACTACACACACAGGCAGTGTGGAGCTGGTTCACTAAGGTGCTCTACCCAAGGGAAGAAAATCTGTATTCCTTAAGGGCATCGCCCTGTTAAATCAATCCAAAATTGTATGGACTTTTTTACTGTCTAAGCAGGTTTCAGTTCTAGTTAATTGGTTTCTAGCTTTGGGGGGTAAAACAGTTAATATTGGCAAATACTGATTGCAAGCTAGGCCACAAAAATCATTTTACCTTCAAGGGGGAATTCTAACTTTCTTATATTTTTAAAGATCAAAATGAATAAACATTTGGGGTAGTAAAAATAATGGCTATTCTCTCAACACATGAAGTAACTCAAAAACAAGAGAAATACATTGAAAACATACATTTACTGGGATCAAATAAAGGTCAGAGTTCAAAGACTTTTAGTCCTTTGCTCGAGGCTTTATATAGACTGGACGTATTATTTGTCAGATCTGCTCCTTGGCTTCTACATTAGCACTGGATTGTGCTGACTGACACTGATCACTTGAGACAGTAGACACAACAGATGTATTAGAAAACAGTATTGCTTTCCCCTTCAAATTGTTGTAATATGATGTATTTATATGACAAACTGATTAAACTGGTGTCAGGAAGAAAGATTTTAACTCACACTCCATCGTGGAGGAGAAATCTAATCAAGTTCAACTGCATTAGAAAAGATTTTAAGCATTTAAATACATCCAAAGCTTGTGCCCTGGAAACACAAGACAAAAATAAAATCCTCTGCTGTATGTATATCTGGATGTTACTGAATCCAAACCCTGCAGCTTCACAGCAAGCCTGATACTTGGCACTTTCCTGGAGAATTGCTAATAAGTTACGTTAGATCAATACATTGCAAATTGTTTGCTTTCACTGTTTGAGGTAGCACAGGCTTCAAGGAACAGCTGATAATGACACTGTGGACTCATCTGTGAAATAAAGAGATGAAAGACATATAACCCTACATTTGAGTGACTATATGACCTGGATTGACATCTCCAAGGATGAATGTTCAATAACATCTGTCTTTAATTCCACTGGTATCAAACTCAGTGGCCCTTTTTCTTCTGTCAACGTTAGTCCAAAAATACAGCTCATTTCAGCTCTCTTCTGTAGGGTTCAACAGTTTTACATAATTATACTATAAATCTGACTCCATCCTAAGAAGCTGGATAGCTAATATTTGCAGAAAACTGCCCAGCTATGGATAATAATTCCAGTTCAATGTTTTATGGTCCAAATATAAACAAGGAGGCTAAAACCTATTTGTAAGCACCTACTATAAAACAGTAACACCATGTCATACTAAAATCATTTCCTTTGGTACCTATAACAGTTGTCACATTGCCAATGTTCCTGGATCCTTAATGAAAATAAGCTTGTACTCTGTAGTCCAGTGCCTGTATTAACAATGTTCTGATTATAAACTGCTGATGGCAAACTCTAGCCTTGGTGCTGGGTTTCCTCGATACACTACAGCTAATGTGAAAAGACAGGGGCCTCAGATTGTTCACGAGGGTTTTGGTGGTTCACTACCCAGCCAGGCATACAGATATAGGACATGGACAAAAGCCTCTTAGCAGGGAGGCTTTTCTAACATTCATATACAGCATCCAGAGTGTTATGTTAGTGAATGAATAAATTATTGCTGCCATCTTGGACACTGACTCTAGAGAGGGCCTTTCATGTTTTTCACATATTTTGTGTCCACCATAGTTTCACCTAAACCCTTGGAAGGCTGAGCGGTATTTAAATAGTTGCCACTAAATCCTACACACTGGACCTTTAGTACCAGCAGCTCCAGACAATGTCTTTTGTCCCATTTTTTTTTAAACCAATGTGCAAGCTGTCATACCACACTTGAATATCAGACAGGCCGCAGTAGTGATGACTAGGCCAAGGTAAAAGGAAGCTGACATCTCAGCATTATTGTTAGCAGTGTCAACACCTTCCTTAGCCTTCACTTGCAGGTTGACATTTCACTCTGTTTGTATAAAGCTTCTTGTCAGAGTGAGTCTCCCTCCTGTCTTCACCTTTGAGACCTTTATGAGCCATAAGACTGCTGTGCTACCAGTCAGCTCATACAGTATGTATGCACTGATTTGAGTTACATAACACGTGGTGTCAAGTCTGAGTTTTCCAATTGTCAAATTTACACCAAATACCACAAACGTTTTTCTAAAGTAAGTTCCTCTCAACTCAATACAGAAATACTGCGTCACTAGTTGATATAAGTTCAAAATATAAGTGACAAGTCTATATTCAAAAGGTGAGTCTGCAAAACTAAGGAGCTAAAGCATACATCTAAGTTTAAAATGTACGCCAGCCTGCCAATCTGAGGGAAGTCAAGTGTGGAATTGGAACTGGCAGCAAATTCAAATCCACACTGCCACAGCAAAAGGAGGGGAAAAAAAGGAAGAGTGCTGCAGGCTCTCTCTCTCATCCTACCGTCTCTCACAGTCAAGTCCTGCACTTGTTAAACCTTCTGACAAGAAGTATTATCATCAAAGTGCAGATCTGCCGACTTGAGATATCTTGACTTGTCTCAAACATGAAAGATTCCCCCCCAAAATTCTGATTGTAGGTGATATAGAATCAATCTTTACGAGTTAACACACAGTTAAGAAGATAATCAATAATGACAATGGTAAGTCTTTCACTTGGTTTAAAAAGCAGCCAGAGGCGTGCACAGAGCAGGCAGGGGGAATGTGATTTTTTAAAATAGAGAACCAACTGCTGAACTCCAGAAACAGATCAAACTGGTAAAAACAAGTCAACTAGTGCATAAACATTGAGTCAGTCGGTCAACAATCTAAATAATGGATTAATCATCCTTTATAATACCACCGCTTCCATCTTTCTAAATTGCAGGATGACTGCAACTGCTCACATGGATTAATCTTTGCTAAGGTGCTGGAAGCCTCAATCTGTCTTATAATGAAGATGTCCGCACACAGCAAGCTTTTGGTCTATCTGACCATCATCAGAGCGTAAAAAGATGAAGGTCTGATGAAGTTTCTAAAGTTCATATCTTTCTAAACTGAATATCTTTGGTGTTTACTTCATACAAATATGCAGGGGCCCTTAATATTTTGTGTGTTTATTCCGTCTCTATCTGGCATGATTAATCTATGAGATGTACTTTACCAACATCAGACAATGGAGCTGCTGTGCTGTATTAATCCAAGGTAATATTACCTGAGGCCAGGAGGCGTCAAAGCCCATGTGTCCACCTCGAATCAGGCCTCATTTACATTGATCTGCATTAACATAATGCTCGCCTCAAATAAAGCCTCTTTCAGGTGGAATGAAAGTGGACATTTTGTAATTTTGAAAAACAGCATCCATATTTATCAAAAGCCATTTTCATGCGCGTCTGTCTGATGTGGCATGGCACTTAATGATGATGTTCGTCTGGCTTTGTTCTTACTAAAAGATCTTTAGCAAAAATAGTTTTTTTTAAGAAATGTTGGCAGGTAGAACAACAAAATCCATCACATATACAATCCTCTCACCCGTGCACATTAAACCTCCATCCATTTCACTCAGTCCCCTCAAAGCTATATTTTTAGACTGACTTTTTTCACAGACGTTATTGTCTGTGGAGCTGGCATTTAATTATGAAAAGAATAATTAAAGCTGTGCCTACGAAAAGCTGCACTTGCGCCTGAGATCAACTGGTGGCTCTGCGCTGATAAGGCCTCTGAACTGACAGGAAGGAGCTGCACAAGCAGTTGCATGACAGTGCTTGAGAGGATGCCTTTCTCCAAAGACTGACTGCCCCATCACATGTGAAAGTATAATGCTGGAAATGCATCCATCATAGCCAAAGCTTTACTCTGGGGCCAAGATGGAGCTGCATTTCAGCTTAATAACACCCAGCAGCTGGCAGGGTTGTCCTATCCCTGCAGCCGCCTTCTCTTTGCATTAAGAGCAAACATCAGCCCATATACTCCACAGACAGCATAACAGGATCACATTTTAATGAGCCTCACTTTCAAGGCAAATCTCCCTTTCTTCTCCTCTTTGTGTTCAGATTTTGCTACCAAGGGAGAGCATGAGGAGAACAAGGTGGCCTCACATCTCCACAGTCAAATACCATGTGCATGTGTTGCAGTAACAATAACTCTTTCCGCCCACACACTCTCACTCTGACTCCCCCCTTCCCCTTACTGCAACCACCACCTCACCCTGCTCCAGCGCCTTCAGTGGCTCACGTGCTGCAGCACACTCCGATGAGTCCCACGCTTCAGAGGAAAAATTCTCCACACTCAAGTCCAGAGGGGCAGCAGAGTGTGGGGGCGTCATCATCCGGCTTCCAGGGGGAACAGAAGATGTTGTTCCTTATCAATGTGATGAAGCAGAATTAATTTGTGAAGATATTTGAGTAAAGCATGAGGGGAAGAGATGCTGCTAGAATGCAGTGATTGTTCAAAGCAATGAAACCAGACTCAGCCACCTTAAAGTGAATGTATCTTTTTTCTTTTATCAGTCATTTTGATTCAAAAAGAAGGGATGAAAGTACGTCTCACAGATTAATCATGCCAGGTAGAGACACAATAAACACACAATATTAGGGACGCCTGCATATTTTTATGAAGTACACCCAAAGTTATTTAGTTTAGAAAGATATGAACTGAAATTATAGAAGTAATGAGCCAGGGTGGGGAAAAATAATCACTTGACAATTTCTTTAGCAGCTTGTTTTTTTATCTCCTTTAATTAATTAAAATATGGGCTCTTAACAAGATGACACTTTCTTTACTTGAATATGTTGTCTGTATTGTATTTATTGTCTGTCATGGCACTGCTGCCTTCTTAGCCAGGTATCCCTAGAAAATAAATCTAAATGACTAAAAATCAAAAACTGAACAAGCACATACATTTACCCACATCACGTGTCATTTATTTATTAATGTATCTGTCTGACATTTTTTTCTGCAAGTATAAGTTTGGATTATGTGAAAAGAAGCAAACTCTCTGGGGAATCAATGCAATTTTCTTTTCCTACTAGGAATCCCCACTTAACTCAATCAATGTTCTTTGTCTTTTACTGTTTCTCACAGGAGACGGGGGAGAGATCAAGTAGCCCACACACTGTGCGATGTGTGCGGAGGGGTGATGCCTCGAGAGCGCATCACAGGACGACAAAACCCCACTGCAAGACGCAGTGCCAGAATAGAGCAGCTTTGGCACGAGAGCCGCTTTCTTGTAGTTTGTAGGAAAAGAGAGGAGATCGTGCAGCAAGGAATCCTCAAACATACTACTTTTCATGCCGGAATCCTCCTGATCAGCTCTGCTGGCTCGTGTACAGAGACAATGTAGTGGAGAGAAAGAGGGGGTCTCCACCGGTGGAGAGATCTGGTGATGCATGGACACGGTTATGGGTGATTAATGCCATTTTGCAGCTGCAAAACAAGACTGGAAATGCACATAAAAAGTGGGGATAAGTGAGTTTCGGGGCCCACAGGATGGACACTGCGGAGGTAATTCTCTCTGTGTTGGTGGTTGTGATTATTATAGTGTCGTTGCTGTCCAACGTCCTGGTGCTGATCTGCTTTCTGTACAATCCGGAGATCCGCAAGCAGGTCCCGGGTCTGTTCAACCTCAACCTCACCTTCTGCAACTTGTTGCTGACCGTGTCCAACATGCCGCTCACTTTGGCGGGACTTGTCAGCAAGGCTCAGCCGGGAGGAGACGGTTTCTGCCAGATTGTGGGCTTCCTGGAGACCTTCCTGTCCACCAACTCTATGCTGAGCATGGCAGCACTGAGCATCGACAGGTGGATCGCGGTGGTGTTCCCCCTGAGGTACCACTCCAAAATGCGCCATAAAGACGCGGCTTTTGTGCTCGGGTACACGTGGGCGCACTCCATGTCCTTCTCCACGGTGGCCACCAGCCTCTCCTGGGTGGGATACCACCGGCTTTACGCGTCCTGCACCCTGTCCAACCCGAGGGCGAGCAGTCGGACCCAGTTTGTTATCTTCACCGTCTTTTTCCACTCCTTCACCTTTCTCCTGTCTTTTATAGTGCTGTGTGTCACATACCTCAAAGTACTTAAAGTGGCAAGGTTTCACTGTAAGAGGATCGACGTTATCACAATGCAAACTTTGGTGCTGCTGGTGGATATACACCCCAGGTGAGCCACTTTAACTTATTATTCCTATTAGTCCTGCATCATGCACCTCTTACTCCAGAGCAATCTGTGATTAGATTCACCGTAGAAGAGCAAGGGAATTTCAAGATTGTTCAGCCCGAGGAGAGAGAAAAAATGAACAAACTGTACAAATAAAATAAATCTGTGAGCAATTAGTGTAGATGGTGCCATCATTTCTTTTCATATTGATGTTGAATCCTGAAATGACACTGTTCTTTATCCATGTACAGTTGATGATGCTTTGCCATCTTTTCACTGAATTTTGAATTGTGTCCTGAGTATTCAGAGGGGATGCAAAATTGGATTCTATTGAAATGTCACCCAGAGTTATAGCTTTGCTCTGCTCCCATATATATATATATATTGTGTGTGTGTGTGTGTGTGTGCGTGCGTGTCATTGTGACACTTGACAAGCAGCCTGTCATCATGACATCACAGCCATGGCACTCACACAGTCACACATGCACACATAGAAAGTGTTGAAATGGTTATTTTTGAAGTGGGAAGCCCTACTTTGTGTTACAGCAGAGTCTTTGGGATGAATCTATTATTTTACCTCAGCTCAGCCCCTGCTGGCTCCTCGAATATTTAACCCCTGCACAACAGAAATAAACAGAGGCACATCAACTCTTTGCTGTCTTTGATTAGAATTTTAGAGACATTTGTGGTCTTCCTCGAGTGTGTCCCACTGATTATAAACGCACTGTATTATCCCTGTTTCCAGTGTTCGCCAGCGTTGCCTGGAGGAGCAGAAGAGGCGACGACAGAGAGCATCAAGGAAGATCAGCACCTTCATCGGCACCTTCATGCTGTGCTTCGCTCCCTATGTGATCACAAGGTGAGTGTTGGAGGTAGACCCATGCAAGGGGGGAGAGGGAAACCACTCTGGCACACTGCGGCGTACGCAGCCCTTTTGTTTTGCTGGTATCCCCCAAACCTCCCTCCTCTGCTGTCAGCTCCCCCCTCACCACCACCACCACCCCCTCTCTGCTTCCTCTCCACACCGGCCAGAGTTGGAAGATGAGATTGGCTGACCTTGTGATAAGTAATATGCCTCTGCTCTGCTGTTGCTGCTGCATTAGCACTTTTCTGCTCAAGTTCGTTGAGTGCATCAGTTAGTCAGGTAGAATCTGCTCACATCAATCACTGGACAAAGAGAGGATGTCTCATGAAGCCTAGTGAGTGAGACAAATAAGTGACGTGCCAGTGGACATGTGAGAAGGAAGTTTTATTTAAATCATACAAAGTACATGCAAATAAATTAATATAGCGTGCAGGGACAGTAAAGAAACCCAAGGAGGGGTTATTTATAACCTCAAACACACACAAATTAGAAGCAAACGACTTAACATGTTCTGTAACTTCAAGGGTCAGTTCCCCCAAATTACAGAAGAAATATTGTATTTTATTCATCTTCCTTTCACCTTTGCAGTTTTTGTGTGACTATTTCCAGTGAAGAAATCGCTTCTGTTTGTTTTGCAGATTAACCAGAGTAACAGGGACACTGTTACTGGAAGATGTTGCTTTTTAACATTTTATATGTCTTTTTTAATGTTTTTAAGCACCTCAAAATAAATCCTATTCACCTTCATTGTATTTGGGTTGAAATAGGAGATAGTTAGATCTATCCCAAAACCTGAACACATAAACACATACACATAAAACCAAAATGAACTGGTCAGGATACTCAAAACAGTCAAAAAATATTTATCTTTAAATCATCTGCTCACAGATTTTTTTTAATTCTCAGTGAAAATGTAAAGTTGCAGTTTCAGCTATTCCTGCTGCTATAATATGATTAAGTATGTTGATTTTATATTATATTTTATACTAAATGCAAAGCTGTGTACCAAATTTTTACTACATAATTCTATACAATATGCACAACATACTAATCGTCATAGTTTTACCAGTCAGTATACAAAAACCCAACCACACTTAACCGCTTTATACTGTAACAGGACGTTATATGTATATGATATCTGACATACATCAAACTAGATGGAAAGCAAAATGTCTTTCTTACTGATTGACTGATTACTTATTATTGTTTTCCAACATCTTCTGGAGCTGTTTCACCAGCATCCACAATTGATTTTAATCATTTTCCAAATGTGAGCAGCTCCTCCATTTCCTTTGTGCACTGACTTATGGGAGAGGAGTATCAATCAACAGCGTTCTCCACAAATCGACTGTATTTAGTCTGCATACTGTCTGGTTTGGTGTGGTTACACATTATACATGTGACCTATACCTTAAAGATACATATGAAGCATCTACAAATGCAATATGATATGATACCCCTATTGCCATGCAGGGCAATTCGACACAAGTTGATTCAACTCAATGCAATTCATCACAATATGATGCGATGCAAAAGAATATGATGTTGTGCAATTCAATATGGTACAGACATTCTAAATGTTACATTTTGGGTTAGAAATTATTGGTTACATTTCTGAATAATAAAGGCATAGGGCCTCTACAAATAATTATAAAAAAACAGGTTTTACAGATGCAAAGATGTCAGGAGCAATGCATCGCTATTTCATCCAAAAATGTATTCGGTGTACACTTTTTTAATCCGTGCAATCACATCTTAAACTTCCGTGCCGATGCACTGATGTGAATCAGTGAATCCATCCCTACTATATTCTTAAAACCTGCTTAGAATTAGTATGCAGTGCGGATTTGGGACACAGCATGTGTGTTTTTTGTCATTCGGGTGAACTGAACATTGAGGATATAATTTTAACCAAATGAGACTGTGTGTCTGGTAGGGTATGAAATGATCATACCATTAACCCATTAATATTTTTAATTAAAATACTAAATTCTAAGAAGCTGGAATTTTTTAAATGAAACCAAGTTGTCTAAAATAAAACACACAGGCTTTGACATCGAGCTTTTCAGCACGCTGACAACAAGCACTGACAATTTGTGTTCTGTTATCAGTAAACTGCCAGTAATGAATGACCACAACAGCACTGCACATGCTCTAATTCTACAAATGGCAGTTTACTAATTACAATCTGAATATATTACGCTAAAAGCTCCTCCACTGCCTCCTCTGATGCTCATTTGTTGTCAGGGCCATCATGTGTATAGTAAAAGCCCTGCTGTGCGGTGTGGCAGCTGACTCTTGTTCACTCTGGGGCTGTGGAGTCTGTGGGCAAATGCCAGTGATGGCTACTGGCCCATGTAAGCCCAGTGTTAATGTGCTGACAGAGCTTGATTGTGGACAGAGTAATCATACAGAGTGCAAGAGTAGAGGATCAGCGATTTTTTTATACCTTTTATGACACCATGTGTGGTACAATATTTTTTACACTTGACAAAAATTAGTGCGAAAGCACCAATTTTCTGTCTTTATGAGCATGACTGGGATCAGCTACTTTGAGATGCAGACAACAGGATAGACTGTAAACCTCATTATGTGCCCCTTTAAATCAAATACTTTAAGTACAGAATGACTTTAAGTACCCATGAACTGCTGGAAGAACTCTCTGTCCTTAAGATTCTCTGCTTAGCCCTCAGTCTAATATTGTATTAAATAACAATCAAAGTTAATTGGCTTGCTTCCAGACACTCATTACTGCTTAGACAGGTCTGCTTTATGCTTCTGGTGGCTCTGCCTTTTCTGACATGAAATGCTGCTGGCTGCAAATGAGAAATGAGATGAAAAGTAGCCTCACACTGTTAATCCACACACGAAAGCGAAAAAGAAGGAAACTCTTCACGTAGTTTCACTTGACAGCTGCCTACATTTTATCTCGTAGCAGATTGCAAACAATAATTTAAGACATAATACTTACTGAGATTAGTCTATATAAACACACTCTCTTTACATAATTACAAAGAAGCACCGAAGTGCTTCCAATGATAATAAAAGAGATGTTATGGGCAACAGTGTCTTGCAAATGTATTTCTGTTCCCGCATAAGCTTAGGGCATGCATGTCTTTTCCAGCATGTTGACTTGCTTTTCCACTGCTCTCTCTCTCTCTCTCTCTCTCTCTCTCTCACCACCCTTTCTTTATGCTCGCCTGCAGGATCGTGGAGTTATTTCCAGCGGTGCCTATCAACCCCCACTGGGGAATTGTATCCAAGTGCTTAACTTACAGCAAGGCAGCCTGCGACCCCTTCGTGTACTCCCTGCTTCGACACCAGTACAAGAAGACATGCACTGACATCATCAACAGGCTGCTGAAGCGTAGCTCTTTGAATGCATCCGGGCGCAGGCACGAGAACCAAGGCAACAGGATACCGACGGCGGAGTGACAGGGAGCCGAATGATGGGATACAGTCTGAGGGTTGACCTGGGAACTGTCAGGGAAATATGAAGCTGATTTATTGTCGATGAAGAAGAGAACAAATATCGGTTGTTCCTGTCCACGTCTGCTTGAATTTGGTCTGACATGCCCCCCCTCCCCTCCAAAAAAAGACAAGGGCAAATCCCTGCACAGTAATAGCACTGTGCTTGCATACTGAGCGCCCGGAACAGCAGATCAGTGCAGTGAACTTGTTGCGAGGACAATAAGCTACGGCAGATTTCACATCCACCTGGAGAGACAGATGTGCTCGCCCAAGAAGAACGGCCAGTTCATAGCCTCATGATTTTGTCTAGGGTAGCTTTCAGTCTGATATAAGATATATGGATCTGACAGAATATATGTTTGTTTTGACTTTACTGTAGTATATATTTATATTATATTTAAAAAATAAAAAAAAGGATAAGGGATGGCTGTATGTCTGTTTTAGTTTGTGCAAAGTGACAAGTTGATAAGTTGATGCTGTATGTAGCACTGAAATTAGACTAACCAAAACTTGATACGAAACCAAGTTCCCTAATTGTATTACTGATGAAAACATACAGCCGACAGTTTGGCTCAGGTTATTTCAGATTGATGGGGTAAAACACACTCCTAATTAAACCAATATTAGGGTATTTTTGTAGTACATGGCCTTCTAGTGTAAAGGCTAATGAAGGAAAAAGCAAGATTATGTGTTTTTTTGTGTGCATAAACACATTGCTGTCGTTTGTCCTCTCAGCACCTATTTTCAAGGACCTACTGACCCAGCCAAGCAGAGTTTTAATGGGGAAAATGGGCCTTCAAACCGGCTGCCTTTGCTCTCATGACTGAAATGCGCCCCTCAGGTTGTTGTGTCAAGTGGAGCATTAGAGACTGTACTTACATGGGTTGGTACTCACAGAGAGGGGTACCCTGCAGAGACTGTTACTTTGCTTTCTCACACATTTGGGCAAGATGGACAAGAAAGTACATGACGTTTTTATTTTAATGTCTATATTTAATAGCAATGATGGCCGTCCATCCAAAGATACAAACTATTCTTAGAGTAAAGCAGCTCTGGAAGCAGAAATTATATTTTTGCTTCAGTCAGCAGTGAAGCAAAATAAATAGTCTCTCCTTTCTGTTTCTAAACATCTAACACACACTGTCTAATAGTTTCTGACAGCACCTTGAAGGCACCACCTAATATTTGTTTGGACAACCCTGTCACAATTTATTGAACAAGCTAATAATATTTATAATGTTAGTCAGACTCAAAGATTAAGTTGTTTTTGTTATTCAGGAGAACATGTCTAAACTATGATCATTGTAGTTTTGTAATAGACTACTATAAATGTGGAGGGTGTAGATTGCCTACATTAGGAAGGACTAGATTTTACAATATTAACCATCTCTTTTGATCCAATAGTTTTTACTTCCAGAAGTAACTCGTGTCTCAAACTAAAGAAAGCAATAGATGTTGAAAATCCTCCTGTGACACTCATAGTTATATAAGCGAATATTTTTCATATTTTTAGTAATGGTTCGGCACATGAGTGTAAGAGTTGGAATGACGTTACTTTATGGCAAATAACCTCTCTTCACAATAAAAAAAAAATCACTTTAACCAAAACAAAAAGAAGCCAAAACAAGTTCTTCCTAAAATAATTTTTAGGTCTGTAACAAAGGATTATTTTATTTTTGAATAATCCGACAATTTTCTTTCTCTAGCTTAGTTCTTTTCTTCTTAATTTATTATTGATTTGGTCCATAAATATCGTAAAACACACAAGATATTCTGTTTATTATATTGGAAAACTAAGAAAACCACAAAATTATGACATTTGAGAAGCTGGAACAACTGAATTATTTGCTTAAAAATTGCTTAAATTAAAAAAAGATCTAAACTAGGAATCCTAGGAGGATAGGAGGGAAGGGGGTCATCCCCAAAGAAGATATTATATCACTGCTGACAGTTTAGTTTTGCATTGAGAATACCCCATTATGTATTCAAAACTAGAAAACTGCACCTGTTTAAATAGATGCGGCGCAGTGTATGTAGTACATGTATAGTATGTTAAGCACTATAAATTTAATTCAGCTCCCATTTTAAATTATTTTCTTTCCAGAGCAGCTTTGCTTCCTAGAATCATCTTGATAACTAAATCTCCATCTGCATAGTTAAATGTACCAATGTATCAATATGTCATTTACAGTGTTTTTAAGAAAGATACTTGGCAACCAGTATGTTTTTTAATGAGATGGATAGCTACAGAACGATGGCAATACCACATTTTTACTCTCACACTGAATAGAGTCTGTATATTTATTTAGTCCCATTGCTTGTGCAGTATAGTGGTTTTCAGGCATTTCTTGAAGACAGGCCTAAGCCCAAGAGCCCTGTCAACTGACAAAGTGTTATCCGACCCACTACATGTTGTACCTATTATGTCTATTTTTTTTCTGTATCAGAAGACAGGCAGCTCTGTATCAGAGAGCTTTTGACTGGGCTCCACTTGTCATAGAGTTACTGTAGATAGAGGTGCTTCAGCACCTTAGTTCAGAAAACAGAGGATACAGAACGAGACGTTTTGTGAAAGTTTACTTTAGGGATTTTTAGTTTACACTGTTAAACTTGGATTTTTGATGGGTTTGGATACACAATGCATTTTGGCTGTGCATATAAAGGGCCAACAGTGAGATACTGTATGTAGTGCCAAAATGATCAATGATGCCCAGTGAGCCAAACATTAGTAGCTGCAATTAATTTTCTGAAAACTTCAGAGAAACTATTTAAGTAATTACTAATTAATACATATTGGCTGTTATTTTGTGTCCATGCATTTAAGGATTTATGGTTATACAGAGGAGAAATGGTTGTCTTGTATATATGATGCATTGCGTGGTACTGTATGACACTACAAGACAACCAATGCCTTAAATTCTGTAAGATGTGGTGTTTTTTTTCCATTCACAAAGACATATGGATATCTTGAACAATAGGGATAGAATCAATCATTGCCTTATTCACTTCTGTTAATTAAAACATAAGCATATAGAATCTGCCTTTGTATTTCTGTACCCTAATTCTGCTTTCCATGGTAACTTCTCGCTGTTTTGCACTGATGTAGAGTAGTTATTTTTCTCATACATGATGGTTATTGGTGAAAAACTTAACATGAAACAATATGTGTTGACAGATTTAGATAAATGACAACGTGAAAAGTATTTTTGTGTCTTTTTGATATACGTACATGTAATTTATGATGACTGTATTCGTTTGAGTGTTACAGAATGTGCTGCTTCAAATGCATATTAAGTTTTAACTGTTGTTGGTAGCTGACAATGAACTGAGTGTAATATACCTCATTTTGTTATGGTGACTGACTTGACTGCCTGAAGTGTTTTGTTATGTACCTCCTAATTTATTAAACCATTGGCTCGATGCTGCTGCTGCTGCTAAAGATGGCTAAGATGACAAACAGTTGATGACTGTGGTGATGTGATGACAGGTGATGGTGATGATGATGATGATGATGATGACTGCTGTTTCCATCTGTTGTTGATAAGATGAGAATATTTGGTTCTGATGGCGATTAGTATTGTAATGTCAGCGAAAATGAGGAAGATGACTGTTTCAGATATTGAACATGATAATTAAAAATAAATTGTACACTTTACCAAAGTGGTCTGGTACTGTTGTGACAAAAAATAGGTTGCTCAAACTCTCCAGGAAAGTATGCTGTTTGTTTTGTTTTTTTTAGACAAAAAACTTAAACACAACCCCACAGAAACATAGCTTCCACACTCTCAAAGCTAGCCTCTGTTCTCCCAGCATTCATTATTAGGTTTTAATAATTTATTTAAACAAAATCCAAACACTAGTTTCAGAAGTTTTCTGTCCCTCTGGAAGGTAAACGGCTCTTCACAGTCATTCTCAGGACCAAGTAGACGAGTCTTAGATCCTAGTACACGAGATGTGATCTTGGACGCGGGTCAGGTCAGGTGGCTCGCTATGCAGCTGTGCAGAGATTGTGAGGCAATGTTATTGCTACATGGGCCTGCTTATCCTGGAGTCAGTTTTTTTCGACATCCAGACTAAGCTGGTTGAATATGGATGCATCTCAGTTTCAGCCCTTGACCTGTTATTTGATCCAATGTGTATTGGTGTCCACAAAAGTGATGTCTGGCAGAAGGTGTTGGGTCACTGATCCAATTGGATGGGTGAAGACTGGAGAAGCATGATGGCAGACCAATCAGCCTTGATTTATCAAGGTATTGTGAATGCTCAGGTTCAGGCAATAATTAATAGACATGTCTATAGGCTTGTGTAGTACAAAAGGAATGCATACAAGCTTCTTCTTTTGCAAACATGTGCCTGTCCAGTCTATTAGCTAAAAAACATGGAATATGTTGTTGTTGAATGCTTCAATTATTTATATTTTTTTGTTTACCAAATCCTTTACACCCAAATGTTATGATGAAATCATAATGAGCACGGTCAGTTTCCCATTTGTCTCTCCATTCCTCAAACTAGCAAAGCTGTGTTTTTTCTCACATTGGCTTTTTGTTTTATGAGATTTGGCACAGAGATATGAACTATATCACTCTGACACAGATAACACTTGTTATTGGGATTTAAATGTATTTTTGGTTTCGGTCTGTTCGGGACATTTGTTTATGGTAGAAAAAAGATAAAATAACACCATGGTAAAAAATCACTTGCAGCAACAAGGAACTTTCATTTTGTGTTGATTCTGGTGCCCCCAGTGGACAAAAATTGTAGTGTTTCCACTGCCTCATTTAATTTATTTCAAGGGGAATCCGACCAAATCCGACCTGATGGCAGGCATTAAGAATAACTGTATGGAAATAGCCAATCTTCTCGCTGATGGCCTTGATTGTTAGGTCATATAGAGGGATCAGTATAAAAGTTTAGACTGTTTCATAACCAGTTAAAAAACTCCTTGTAGTAGGTTTAACCATTCAGAAAAAGTTGTTGTGGAAAGTAATCACCTGTCCTGCAACCATCTTGCCATAACCACTTCTTTAATCCACTTTGGATTTGAGGAACGAATCAGTGTGGGGCAAGGAGAGAAAAATGGAAGGTCTGAGAGTGGTATGACTTCTGTATCCGCAGCAATTCCTACTGTTTCCACCTACAATCAGTCTGAGTCAGTGGGAAGCAAATTTTCTGTTCACACCACAGCGCAGGTGGTAATGAAACAACATCAGCGGCTGACTGAGATGGTCTGGGCTGTAAATGACTGAGATCCTGCACACTGATTGACACCCCAGGAGCCAGTGATTATCTTCAGGTGGGCAGCAGTGACCGTAACACACTGCCTCATGGTTGGCCTCAAACCACTCGGTCAACTGACCCCCCCTGAGTGGGAAATAAACCACAACTCAAAGTGAAAAGTGGACACCTTGTTCTGTGAAACTATGGAATGTTTGTTGTTATTCTCTTCATAAACCTTTGACTTGGGTCCAGGGAACAAAAGAGGTTAACTTCAAAGCTCGGAAGGTCTAAATCTGTTGCCCATTAGTCACCAAAACAGCATATCTTAAATCTGTGTAAAGCTATACTCATGCTTTCAAGTGTTTTAGAACAGTGATGCGGTGTAGATTCTTCTTTTTTAAATGTGTGAATGTAAAATGACACATTTATCCAGTCACTGGTAAAACAAAAAAAAAGAGGAGTAAAATAACATCTCTTTTGAGAGGTACTTGGAAAACCTTAAGAAACAAATAAATAGAAGGTATGAAAAGCCCAGTTGTTTGTTGGATATTGTTTCTGCTGCAAACCACAAAAATATCAAAATGCACAAAAGACTTGATGATGAATGCTGCTTTGTGTTTCATCCAGACTCCAAAAAACCTCAACAAACTTCACTTTGGCGTTTGCCTCCACTTCTGAATGACATGTAGGTGAATTTGTAAAAATAGTGATGGAGAATGCAGCATCTGCTTCGTATATCAACAAACAAAAGGCATGTGGTGCTTATTATTCTGCTTGTACGCTTGTTTCTCTGCCTTATGTCACCATATGCTTTTTGTTTGTGTGTGTGCTAGAAGATGTGTTACGCACATTGGTGCTGTGCAGTTATGACATATGTGTGGCTCCTGCTCCGAAGTGTCATTATTTAACACACGTGATTTATGTGTTTGGTTTTTTGCAAGGAAATCTAAATAAACAACATATTTTGATGAAACTTAGGGGAAAGTTGTTGTTAAGACCTTTTCTCAGGATTGTATGGGAGTGTGCAGACTCTGCTTGATTAACATTGCCCTCCCTCCAGCTTGCACCTTTATTATTCTTCTGGGCTGTTATTGGAAGAGTTTCTGACTTTTAAATTCACGTCAACTTCCAAGTCATAACTATGACCTCAAAACTTGTATTTTTCCTAAAGCTCCGATATATCCGACTTGGTGCTTACTTAACATACACAGGCAGCTCACATTCGCCATACGGCGTTGTTGACTGACTGCTGTAGAGACACATTTTTGTGTATGTAAAAAATGCGACACTTTGCATTGTGGGATTGTTCGCAGAATTTGTGCACATGCCATGGACAGTTCTTTTATCCTTTTATAGTGGATTTTTTATGAGGACACTAATAGCCTATAGTGGATTAAATTACAGCAAAGAATACACACAAATAAAATGGTGGACAGTAAATATAGTGCACTAAATTGTAAAGACGTAGTGACATT